TTTATAAACACCGTGACTCCTTGAGCTGACAGATTTTTTTGTTCGCTTCATACAAATTAAAATTATTTAACAGAGTTTGGGGTCCTGCCACAGTAGCAAAGAAGATTATTGCATTGAGTAATGGGAATTCATCAATATGATATACATGTATGAAATAGATTAGCTTAATTGTATACTATTTTAACTAAAGGGCAATTTATATTTATTTTTATTCATTCGCACTTCTCTTCCACTTGTACGGTCAAATTTTTCACATAGGGCTTGCAATCAAATCCCCTAATCAGTTTAATCCTGTGAAATGTTTCGATTATCGTGTATAGAGTCTAGTCTATTACCTCTTAACTTTCTTCTCAATATTTGTCATAGAGCGTTTCTCAAACATTCTCACTGTCTCAGTCCATTTTTTAAAACTCTCTCACACTTCTGACAAAGACTTGTAATTTTGCTGGATTTCATATTTATATCGTAGCATATCCTCATAAGAATAAATGTGACAGAGTAGCAAACATATTTTCTAATATATATATATATATATATAAAGAACTTGGGAATACCTTTCAGCATCTCTGTGATGAGAGGATGATAGAGTTAGTTGATTCAATAACCAACATCACAGCTCCTGCGGCATTCCCATAAGCGCTCTGTCTCCATCTTCAGCAGCCAGCGCAGAGTTCTAATACCAATGGTGCCAACATCATTCTGATTATACGGTCATCTTGCCCTTCCTCTGAGTGTTGAGTATTGACCTAATCCCCTCATCACCCCTCACTGCTTCACTCTGATCAGACTGTGGTGATCAACTTGTTATTCCAAATTGTACATGTTCTCCCACAAGGCTTTTACCACGCCTGCCTTATTATGTATCAGCATTCCACCAAGTTGTGCAGAGCCAGCCAGTCTGTCTGTCTGTTCATTTTCCAGCACACCGGCATACCCTGGAGAAAAAATCCAGACAGTGCTCCTCACCCGTGACCTCAGAAGTGAAGCATGCCACTCAGTGCGAAGCATACCTGTCCTCACCTTCTTTAACGTGATTTCTGAGTAGTTACAATCATGATGTGTGTGTGTTTGTGTATGTGTGTATGTTTGTGTTTATTTGTGTGAGTCATGTTCTCTAGCTAATGGAAAGCTGCAGTGACCGCCTCCACCTCCATAGGCGTGCCTCTAATGCAGCAGACACAAACCATTGCTTTTGCTAAGAATCCCCAAGCACATCTTTTGCCACTTGACACTGAACCGTCTATATAAATAATCATCACATCCTCTAAACGAGCATTATCTTAAATTAATGCTGAATTAAAACCTCAGCGGCACCTGCTGGCCACACCCTGCACTTCCAGCCTAGTGTAATTATTACTCTACACAAATCTGACTGTTCCGCTGGCACCCTGACCTACTCTTTGCCTTGTCTAATGTTCTTTAGGATGCAAACCTGTCTGATTGTGTCTTCTGCTTGAGCCATCTTGGCTTCCCCCTTATCAGCTACTGACCCTTAACTGCACACAGAGCTTTGTGCAAAGGGTGGTGTCATAAAGTACAGGATAGAATTTATCAGATTGCTCGAACTATGAAACTACTCTAGGGAAATGTCCCGAGAAAAAAAGAAATAATTTTTTGAAATTTTCTAACTCCGAAGCAAGGAATTAGGTGGTTGGCTTTAGTCTCTTCGTCAATAATCAAGTTAAGTCATGGGCTATCTATCTAACTTCCTTTTAGCTTCCATGATGAGTTTCTTGGGATAGTAATGTGGTAGTTACCCGTTGCTTTCCACATCCACATGGCTTTAGACTATGTCCTTAGCCTTCTGCAACCTTTTTGATTGCTAGGGCAAGTGAGTGCCCTGCTCTGTGATGCTTCTGCTAACAGCAGAGGGCACCCCAGAGGTGTCCACTTATCCTGGCTGATACTCGGTCCCTATAGCTGCATTGGCCACAACGCAGTGTGTTTACCGTCCTCTGGAGGTGCAGTTGGGGTTTTCCCTTCACTGAGTCTTGAGACCAGAATGGCATTTCCCAAAACTCTCCAGTACTTTCAGAGAATAATAGCAATCACATATGAAAAATCCAAGATATATTTTCATTATAAACATCTACTGGAACTGTTAACTATCTCTTTGTTCACTCTGACCTTGTTTATCAATTATTCTAATTTATTTTCTAGAGTTGATATCATAACCAAAGAATTTCCTCTCACTATTTACAAAATACTATTCTTATATCTTCTTTAATAACTTTTTATAGGTCTAGATAATTTATTTTCTAATTTTTCTTACTTTTCATTTTCAAACTCTCCAATGTTGTCCTTACCCCATGATGTTATCATTACAAATGCGTGGTTAGGTTAAGGTGTCGGTAGGGAGTGACGTTTAATTTGTCCACCGTTACCATAGATTGGTTGAATCCCAAACACCACATTTAAGTACCACGTCATATATTACTATGGTGCATGAATATTCTAGATTTTATTTATTAACTAAGTGGTTTTAAGATATATAGGATTGAGTAATTGAGGCCACTTCATGACAGGTGGTATGTGTCTGCAGCTACCTTGAGATATGACTTCGCCTGCAGCACCTTGTGCTTACCTGCAACAGTTGGCAAACCAAGGATATATCGCATACACACCACAGGGGTGCAACCTAGAATGATCCGTATAGCTGCGTTCTGTGTGCGCTCTAGTTTGTCCATCTGACTCTTTAGGACAGTAAGCAGTCCCAGGTCATAATCAACCACTTACAGGGTCAGGTGCTGATACAGTGTGAAAAGCATTATCTGCTCTATGTCCATTGCTGTCATAGTCTTAAGTGCATTGAGTCCTTTTTTTTTGACATTTTGTCACAACACTGTCAACATGGTCCTTGAAGGACTAGGCTCCTGTCAAATGCAATTCCAGAATACTTTAGTTTGCTCTCTTTGTTGTATCTACCATCTATCGTAAGGCCTGGGACCTCAACTCTAACGATCCTGTTGGTTGTCTAGAGAACACCACAAAACAGATGCCTTTTCTGGTTCGATGACAGTACTGATTTCTGTACACCAGTCAATCACTTTGATGACTGTTGCCTGCAGTTCTTTGGCTGTTAGTTCCCTCCCATTCCCTTGCCTATATGCGAATATATCATCTGCAAAAGTCAGTATCCTTCCAACTCCTGGTGCTTCTAGATTTGCACTCTTGTTCGCATACACATTAAAGAGCACATGCGAGATGGTGGAACCCTGTAGCAGTTCTGGGGCTAAAAGGCATAAGTCCATAAACCCATACTGAGAGCAACCCAATGAGAATACAGGACAGCCGCAATCCAATTCACCAACCAGGGACTGACCTCCTTCTCCCTCAGTGCAGGCATCAGAATGATGTATCTTACTCTATTGTACGCATCCTCGAGATCCAGAACTACTGCCATCGTTTTCTGTCTGTTTTAGAACCCTAAAGGACATAAAGAGATTAATTGTTTGCCTGTAATGTAGGTTTGTTGTTTCTTGTATTGATAACAACAATTACTCGTTTTTTCACTTTTGTATATTATTAGAAGTCGACTGTGGAAAACCGTTAGACATTCCTGGTGGCAATTCTGCTAATGTTACAAATACAACGTATGGCAGTTCATTTGAGTTTTCTTGTGATGGCAGCCGAGGATTTACTGTGACTGGTGCATCAACTCTAGGCAACCAGACTGTTGTGTGTCAGAGTAATGGTCGTTGGGGATTTGCCAATCTTACATGTGAAGGTAACAAATTATTTTATATTGTTTTCTCACATGTGGGTTCTTGAGCCTCATTGGGGTTAGAAAACACGAATAGACCCTCTGCCTACCCAAACGCCTGTCTGTTAACTAAATGGAAGTATCCTTCAAATTCTGAGAAAATCTGCCAGAGAGACAAGAAACTACAGTTTGCATACAAATGAGTCAGATCTGTAGAACAGATGTGCATGTGATACTCAGATTCTGGAACAGGACCAAAGTCTAGAGGTGGATGAGTAACCAGAACATTCTGCAAGAGTTTACTGTCAGTGTTCATGAAGAACAAGAATTTATATTATGAAGCAGGACCTTCTATCTCCCTTGACACCCAATGCAGTAAAATAGGATGTAAAGAAGGAAGAAAAAGAAGTATAATTTTGTTTTACTGCTGAGAGAAGTAGGATGTGTTTTTTATACTGGACCTTACTTTGAACATCAGGAAAACAGAAGTAGAAGCAATATTTGAAAAATTGATCATAAATAAATGTACAATTAAGACAAGTGATACTTTTTTGGGAAAAGTAAGGATGGAAAATATAGAGATAATGAGAGGCAAGGAAACAGCAATCTGCATACAAATGACTCAGATCTGTAAAAAGGATGCAAACGCAACATTCAGGTTCTGGAACCGGACTGCAATCCATAAGTGGATGAACAACCAGAACTTTCCGTCAGAGTTTACAGCTGGTGAACCTGAAAAAGAAGACGAAGATAGGGAAAATGAACAGAACAGGACAAGCAGTAACTGAATTATATTTCATGAAATGAACTTTTGTGTGTGTGCAATAAATATGTAATTGGTGGTTAGAAAAACTAATTCTCATGTATTGTATAAAAAGGACTATATTATTCCACATCTTTTCAAGTACATCAAAGGACTGTGTAAGAAATATATTTAAAATTTAAAATGTATGCTTTACAGTTGCAAATATGGGGGTGACTGCAGTCAAGCTAATACACAGGAATTCCAGAGAAATTAGACTCAAAAGCTCAACAAAATGGGGAAGCAGAAAAACAAGACAACGTAACGGTTCGGCCGGGCAGCCTTTTTCACTTATGTTTGGAAAAGGCTGCCTGGCCGAAATGTTACGTTGTGTTGTTTTGTGTACCATGGCGGCTGCCACTTATGCATACAACGTATACTGAAATTTGTCTAGATATATTTCTATTAAATGTTCCTTGAAAGCAAGATATTGCATATTTGAATGTAGTCATGCATTGTGAAATAAAGATGTTTAAAATATGTTAATTTGTGAAGGCCCCAGGTGTAAAGATCCTGGCACAAGGGCTGGAACAGTTCAGATTGTGAGAACAAGCTATGAAATAGATCAAATAGTTCAGTACAACTGCACAAAGCCAGGTTTTACAACTGTGACAAATGACACTCTGGTGTGTGAATACAAGAATGGAACTGTACAATGGAGTGGTGATCCTCCAACTTGTGAAGGTAATGAATTGTTAATATATGCTAATAGTTTACAATTTTTTAACTATTGATTACACTGACATTTATAAATAGATTCATCTGGTAATGCTCAAGTTCTACTGGGGTAAATCATGAAATGAAAGAATTTCAACACTATAAGATACCTGAAATAAGAAACAATTAAGAAGAATTGATTTTTGAGCTGCCTGTCTCATCTAGTAGTGTAGTGTCCCGCCTGGGAGGGACAGAGGGAGACATACAGTCACGCCTGAACAAAACTAGAGCTGCTTTCGGAAGGATGAGGCAAATCTGGTAATCCAACAGTTACTTCGACTCTACAAAAGCATTATTTTGCCAGTTCTTCTTTATGGAGCAGAATGCTGGAGAATGACCAAAAAAGGATGCACACAAGCTATCCACCTTCCACCACACATGTCTACGTAGAATTATCAAAATTGTCTGGTCAGATACAATCTCAAACACTAAACTACTTTAAGTCACAAACCAAGAAACTTTAGACAGTACGATAACCAAGAGTAGATAGAAATGGCTGGGCCACTTTTTGAGAATGAATCCTGATATACCTGCCAAAACAGCTCTCACATGGACACCAGAGGGAAAGAGAAAGAAGGAGCGCCCAAAAACAACATGGAGACGAACGATGGAAACCTGCACTAAAGATTGCACAGGACAGGAAAGCATGGAAAGTCCTCTCTGAAGCCTCATCTGTCACTAGGCATAAAGAGAACTAATGATGAAAACAAAAGGTGTTGTGGCACTTAACAAGAAAGAAAACTAAACAGAAAAATGAACTGACTCTAAAATGACATCATTATGATATTCAAATATTGTGTCAAAGAAATACAACAAAGTAAAAATAATTATTAGATAAGTATTAGGGGAGGAGGCAAGCTCAGCCCCCCCCCCCCCTTTTTTTTATGCTCTATGAAAACAAACTAACTGTAAACATCCACAAGACCCCATCAGCAGTCTCAACAGAAAGCAACATACAACAATTTTCTGTCTACGAACAGGACACTGCAGGCTTAACTATCATATGCATAAAATACAGATTATACAGGCCCCATTATGTGCCTGTCAAACAGGACCACAAAAACCTGGGCACATTCTGAAGACCTGCCCACTCTACATACAACTTCAAAAAGACACCCGGCCTCTAAAGCAAAGTGTGCAAAGCAAGCTATGGGGAACCACGAAGAACCTGATACTGACATGCGAGTTCATAGAGGTAACCCACCTGATGGTCTGATCTGAGCATACAAAAACAAACGCAAAGAAGAAGAAGAAGTATTCTCTGTGGCGGTGGCCTGGATCCAAAGATGTTTGCAGGACCTTTTAACTGCAGCAATGTACATAAACACCGTTGGTTAAGACCAGCTAGTCATGTTAAAGGGGGTAAATTGCTATTATGTGTAATATTCTAAGTGGTCACTTGCAATCTAAAGAGGCAGTCAACATTTAGAGGTAGTCTTCCATTAAGAATATGTGGTGACCATCCGATTAATGAAAATTAGGTCAGTTTCTGGAGGTGGTCAACATAGGGAGGTGGTCAGGTAGGTAGTTGTACCCCACCAGGACATCACACAAGCGATAAACACCCTGTGATACAAAGTGCCACCATGCGGATGAAGATCACCCATGAAGAGGTCCAACAAACCCCTTTCAACCGTTAGGCTATATCTATGGCTAGGCCCCGGCTATATTTAGGGCCCCCGGCAAAAGCCAGGGTGGGGCTTCAAATAACAAAAAATTGCATCCCACTAGAGGGATGACTGTAGGTGGTGGTGGAGATGGTCAGCTTTTGATGTTCTATTTATATTCTTGGTACATGTCAATGCTTTTTTCTAAATGATGAATGTTTCTCATGCTAAAACAGACATAATTTTAAAATTAAACCTACAATTTATCTATCTATTGTCTTCTTCACTTTTACCGGGTTGCAGCCCAGTGTCGTGGTTTAAAATATTTGTTTTGTGTCTCTCGCGTGATTTGAGTGACAGTTTTCTGGATCTTCTGGCCGTATTCAGCTACTCCATCTATCCATTTTTTCCTGGGTCTTCCTCTGGCCTTTCTTCCCGATGTTCTACTGTAAAAGGCCTTATAGGCAATCTGATCTGGTTGCATTCTTACTAAATGGCCAAACCACTTCATTCTCTGTCTTTCATTATGTTCCATGCATGCTCTTGTTCCAACTTTGTCTCTAATGCTGACGTTTGTGACTCTGTCTCTTCGTGTATTGTTGGTGACTCTTCGGGGACATCGCATTTCACACGTAGTTATTTTTTGCATATGTGATTTGTTCATTGTTCACGTTTGGCACTGATAACAAAACGTAGGGATGAAAATGCTGTTGATCATCCGTTGTTCGTCTTCCATCTTCTGTAAATATGCATCCTAAGTACTTGAATTCTTGAACTTGTTCTAATTGTATGTCATTGATCTTTATGTTTACATTACTGTGTTTCTTTCCTATGGTCATTACTTCAGTTTTTGAGGTGTTTTTTTTTCATGTCAAATTTTGTACAGTTAGTGAGCAATGAATCAACATGTTGTTGTAGTTTTTGTTCTTCTTCTTGTAACAAACATTGGTCATCTGCAAAGAGTAGTTCATTTATAATATCTGTGTTTTGGTTTGACTCCTGTGCAATTTTATCCATATATGTGATGAAGAGTAGGGGTGATAGGACACATCCTTGTCGTACTCCTGATGTAATGGGGAACCAGTCTGTCATACCTTCCGTTGTTCTTACAGCGCTCTGGCTATTTTGATAGGGAGTCATTATGTTTCCCAGTAAATGCCCTGGTACACCATATTCTTCAAGAATGTTCCATAGTTTATTTCTGTTAACCCTGTCAAAAGCCTTCTCTTGATCAATAAATATAAGATTCTGGTGTTTATTATATTCGATTGTCTGTTCACAAATTTGCCGAAGAGTAAATATTGCATCAGTGCTGCTCTTTCCTTTTCTAAATCCAAACTGATTGTTACTTAATTGAGGTTCTAATATCACCCTCGCTCTTCGTTTTAATATTTTTGCAAACAGCTTTCCTACATTGCTTTGTAAAGAGATACCTCTGTATGTTTCACAATCTCGTTTATCACCTTTCTTCTTCCATATGGGAACTATAATTGCTCTCTGCCAGTCAACGGGAACTTTCCTTTCCTCCCAGGCCATATTGAATATTTTTGTCAGCCATTTTACTGCTGTTGCCTTACATGCAAGTATTATGTCTGTTGTAATACCATCTGTTCCGGCTGCTTTGTTTCTTTTGCTTTGCTCTAGGATCTTTTCAACTTCAGATTCTAATATATTAGGTTCTTGTTCTTGTCCAAATTTTATTTTATTAGACACTGGTTCTTGTGGTCCACTATTCAGTAATTCAGAAAAATATTCTTGCCATCTTCTTTTAACATCTTGGGATTCGGTGAGTGGTTTTTTAGCCTTGCTGTTTATGATCTTTGATGGGTTAAATTTCTCTTCTCTCAGTCTCATAGCCTTGATGCTTCGGTAGAACTGACCTGGTGAATCAGTGCATAGCCTTGCTAATTGTTCTCCGTAGTTTGCCTATGATTCTGATTTCGCCGAATTTACTTTCCTCTTGCTCTTTGCTCTTGCTTTTCTATATTTGATGTAGTCCTCATCTAACTTGGACTTTTGCCACTGATGAAAATATTTCTTCTTTTCTTTGATAGAAACCTACAATGTTAGTCTGAAATTATTAGTTTAGTATATGTTGATAAATCTAAAAAAGTGTAAGAAAATGTGGATATACTGAAGAATGTGGTATTTCATGGGGGGAAAAAAACAGTCAAATATAGAGGTTTAGAAAAGATTAAAGGAAATTACTAAACGAAAAAAAGAAAAAACAATAAAAAACAATGGAAGGCTAACCTAGCCAACAAAAACCTACAGAAGTCAGATGTGTCTACCAAGAGGCGCAGTTATCGCAACCATGCTGTAATGTGGCACAAAGCTATTACATCTTTAGATGAACACAGAACAAGAAAAATTAAAAAATGAGACAGCTAAAAAATTTTGGCCAAATTAAGACTACCACTCTTTTAAAAACCAAATTGGAGAGAAAGGTTGAGGGCAAGAGAGCAAGAGGTAGACAAGATACAAGGGGGAGGACAACATCAGAAGATGAGCAAATAACAGTCTGGGGGATCGTGCAACCAAGACAAAAGACAGAGCGTTTTTGAGACCCAATGATGTCAACCTTCAATGTCATTGTGAAGATGTCACCTGATTGATTGATTGATTGATATGTTAATAACTTTTCCATGTTGTAGTTTCTAAAAATGCTTCCAATTACATATTTTTTTAATAAGTCATAAACATTGCCACAGCAAAATTATTATTAACATTTAGTAGAGGTTCTTTAGAGTGGCTGCTGCAGAGGGTATTTTCACCCTAGTTAGGAAGGTTGGGTAGAAAGCCCAAGTTTAACCGGAATACTGAGAAAAGCCAGATACTCAGATTAACCGAGGTTTTCAAGATAGGTGATGACCACGAGTTATCATGTGGAACCCGATGATAGCGACCACAGGTCGCCACGTGGAAGTAAAGGACCACCACGTGTTGCCACGTGAAACAAACACGGGGTATAAAATCAGACCCTAGTCTGATCAAGTTAGTATGTGTTGAATTGTTGAAGTGAAAGGACGGGAGATTGAGCGAGAGAATGACAACGTGAGATTGATGGCTGTGAGAGAAAAACCAGACGACAACATCCATTTGAAGCCATGACCAGCCAGGCCAGTCTGTATGATGTCAAGGAGAAGAACTAGATACATCTGTGCAAACTCTGGTCGGTGACTGCGTGAGAAACCAACAAGTTGGAGTCTGCGTAATGTGGTGTGTGAAAGCAGTTTCTTAGGACAAGGACTGGACGTTCATGTGAGTGTTAAGATGTCAATAAAAAGATATATCGTACTGCTAAGTCGGTGTCAGCTTGCCTCAGTTATGTCATCGTAGAGTGTGTGCTAAGAGCTTTCACTGCACATATCATCTCCTAGACAACATCCAGTGCAAGCAGAGTTAGTACAAACACAACTCATTGCATATACATGGGAATGCCCAGTGTGCAGTGAAATAATTTGTGATAACATAGTTTTATTTCTTTTAATAGTCATTCTAAAAAACGTGAATATTGCTTTAATGGTTTTTTTTAAAACTGCAAATAATTTATATATTCACTAAATTTAATTTTCCAGCTTCACCCTGGATAATGAAAGAGTATTTTATATTCTTCCCTCCACTGCCTCATCTTGGTCTCCATCACTCCTGTATATGTGGTAGAAATTCCACAGAGACGCCAGCACAACATGAGCCTTCTGTTTTTAATTTTTTTTTTGGTTGCCCTTGATTTCTCAACCATTTTAGTGTATACTTGGTGATTCTCTCTCTGATCGTCTCTTTTCAGAATCTACATACTATTTCTCTTTACTGTTAAAGATTGGACAATTGTTATGCTGCCTAATCTAACTATATTTGTGTAACTAAGTCAGAAGATGAATAGAGATACATGTTTGTCAACGGCTCATACAATTATGTGGTTTAGCTTGTGCACAATTATCACAGTTAATTATGTGCATTTTATTAAACAAATAGATGCTGAACCACCAGTAATCACGTGCCCTACAGTGGAGCCCTTGGATCTGTACAGTACCTTAGTGTATGCAGACCCAATTGTGTCGGACAATTCTGGCCTGTCCTGTTTTATACTTGATTCAGGACCTCCTTCAGGAGTTTCAGTGGTGACCAATAATACAACAGTGAGATACAATGCTACAGACACTCGGAATGAATACTTTTGTGAATTTAATGTTACTGTGAAAGGTATTTATTGCATTTTATAATTTTATTATATATATAAATTTATTCTGAATAAGTTTATCAATCTCTCTGCCTTTCCTTATGCATATAAACAACATTCAAAAATAGATTTTACATATTTGCTATGAGATAGTTTTTAACATTTGGATGTAGTTATATGTGAAGTTCACAAAAGTTAGATTGTCATTATTTGTAATGATTTTTTAGGGGTTTGTTTTTAAACTGGTAGACTAGCAGAATAATGATTACTGACAGGGGGGATGTGGTTTTTGAGAAAAATGCAAAGAATATCAAACAAAGCAACCCATCCTCCAGACAGATACAAATCGTAAACCGATTAAAACAATAGGTTATAGAAAAGTCAGTCTTTTTGGGACGTAATGAGAGGGAATGGATTCTAGAACTTGCAAGACTGATCGAATGAGAGCAAGGTGAAGGCAAAAAGGCAAACCACTGGCTTGGTCATACTGAGGGGGCAAGACAAGAACATTGATTTGATCAGTGATTCTAGTGACCATGTGCGATTGTGAAGCGTGCAGCCTACACTTATCAGTACAGCACATGATGATGATGATTGTATTGCTTAAAAATATCATATAATCCCATACAAAATCCAACTATTTAAAAAAAAAAAATTTCTAAGACACAAAGTTTAGATTGAAGACTAAATAATAATTACTGAAATTGTGACAATATGTGTAAGAGCATTATATTTGTACTGTTAGGATTTATCTACATTTTTGTTGCTCATTGTTTTCAGAGAAAATCAAATATGCATGACATAGCTGAGAAGTTGTAGTGGTCATCTCTGGCTAAGCATTAGCCAAGTTTGAATCTCAGTAGGGCTGGGCGTTTTCAAAAGAGCAGTAGATTTCCAACTGCTTGCTGTAGCCTGCTGTACTCATGTAGTACCCTCTGGCTGCTAGCTGATTTTGTTCATTTCTGACCAAATGACTAAACCAATTTATTCTCTGATGTTCTATGAAAACTTACCTCTTATAAACACATGCCAAAGCCAACAATACTGACCTCAGAGCTAGATACATGCATTAATAAACATGACACTCTCCCTTTCAATGAGAAACGTAAATTGAAAAGTCTAGTTCCATGTAATGAATTCTGCATTTTTCAGTTTCTTTTATTCTATTCAAAAGTATCCAGTTTTTTTTTTACCTTTGATGATATTAAAATTGCAAAATATTTTTTTCATTCAAGATCGCTCTGAACCAACAATAGAGTGTCCACCACGACATCAACAAGAGCTTGCAGGCAGGAGATATGCTTTGGTTAACTTAAATGAATCTCTACTGGTGTCTCACTCTGGGGATGGTATAATCGTGTTTGATCCCGCCGGTCCTCTCAATGTAACAGAAGGAAGTGTGATTCCTGTCAGAGTAAACATTACCAAACAAAATGGTCTTGTGAAGGGGTGTGCTTTTTTGGTCAGTGCTGCATGTGAGTATTCATTTTTTAAATAATAGTAAGTAAGTAAAGGTCACTATTTATGCTAGTTGTGTGTCGGACGTATGATGCTATGATCATATTTTTTTTTTTTTAACCCTTCAGTGCTCACCATCAGTCTGGAAAACATTTTTCCTAAGAACATTACCTGATACCCTTTTTGGACTGGGTTGACCTGGAAGCTGAGGTCAAATTTGAAACAATCCATCACCATGAGGATTTAAACCCAAAACTTGCAGGCTGGCAGACAAGCATCTAGCAGCTACACTACTGCAACTTCCTTTTGACTAAAAGTAGTCTGTATTTTATTGTTATCTTTTAAAATGTTCATCGTTGAAACAAGAAAACTTGAAGATCAAGTTTGTTTTAATGTAACAAGTTTGAAACTTCTAAATGCTTCTCCTTGAAACTAACAGTAATTATAACTTATCTTATTCTCATTATAAACATAATTGAATAACTATGGTTTGTATATTGTTCCAGATGTTATGATTCAATACAACGGTTAGGGGAAATAATATAAAAGCACTTGGATACTATTAAGTGCAGGCCAGAGCTACAAACACCTTGAAAAGAGGATTAAAAAAGCAGTGGAAAGAGTGGCACGACATAAAAAGCAACATACTGTGGCACAGCACATTATAACTTGGTACTGTATGGCTTAGCATCATTGCTAATGGGAAAAAAATTTGAAAAACAGAAAGAAAAAAAAAAGGTGTTAGACCACTGATTACATTTATGAGAAATAACAGGAATTAATATTTCATTCAATAATGAATTACAGTACAGTTACTAACACATATAAGAGACTTTCCAGTCTAATATTGCAGACTCGCTGGCCAGTTGTTATAATCGTGGCAAATTGTATTTATTTCTGGCCATGGTAAGCTATTGCATTTCACCTGTATACTGAAAGTTCCATCGCCAAGCTACAGAGCTGAATGCATGACACAGCACAGTGAGCTATGGATTTGATTCAGAATTCTTTTTGATTGTGCTTTAGATGGTTTGTATTGCAGATTCAGAAAATGATGAATGGTCTTTTGCCACATAACTGGTTATGCCTTATGCTTATGCTATAATGCATGTACTAATCTGTTGTAACTGCTTTTTACATTCATGTTGAACTGTTTTTTTAGTGTTGGCCTCTACTTCTTAGCACTTCTGATGACTTCCTTATGCAATTAATGCTTGTGTATGTTATTGGTTTTGCCAAGACTTCAGTCTATATTGATTGTTTAACAAGGGATAGATGGAAATTCTATGTGATTTTCACTGCACGTGAATGGAATAATAATAACAATTGATTGCGCAGGATAGAACGGAATGGTGACTTGGACAACGAACCCTCTATAACATATAATAACACAACATGATGATGATGACATTTAAGTTGGGTTAACTCTTTTAGTCCCATGCAACGCACCAACCATGTGAGATTGGATAATTTTTTAATTCGAATTGATGTGTTGTGTATAATTTTATTTCTGAGGTTTAGTCACAGAATATTTAAAAAGAAAGCCAACAATTTTGGTTGTTTCCTGCAAAAGTTTTTGCGTTTAATACCGTGAAATTAGTACACCAGTGAGGTTGTTATTTTCATTATTGCCTCCCTCAGACATCAGTTAGAACTTTCTGGGAGTGAAAGTGTTATTTAGATGTTAGTAGTAGCATAATGGTTATAAGGCTTGTCTGTCAAGATAGCAGTCAGCTGTAGAAGGTTCAGTACTGTTCTTGATCTGTACAGTTTCTAGGGTCGGCTTAACCTATTAAAAAAATGGAGTGCCACACAGTGTCTATAATTTTTAAGAAAGGAAAAGGCAATGAGAAAGATATATGGCCACCCAGCTTCTTATGGCTTTAAATATGTGAATACTTAACATTTTACATACCAGCGAAAGTACTTGCTATAGAACTGCCATTTCCATATAGAAGAAAAAGATGAATGCACTGTTAATGGTAATTATAGGATAAACACTGCTGGTGAAATCATAACCATGAAAGCGAGATGCTAAGATTTTCGGTGAATGAAAACTAAGATGCAGTATATCCTTTCAAGGGAACAAATAAAAAAACATAATTACTTGAATAGCAACGTCCGTGGCTAAGGCGTTGCAAGTCCGACTCGTAAGCCAGCATACCGCGATCGAAACCCACTGCAGGCTGCGTGGATTTTTGTCGTGGCATGGGACGTCGCAGGTCGACCCAGCGTAAAATGGGTACCAGGATGGGCTGTCCTGGGAAAGTAAAGACAGCCGGCGTAATGCTGACCACATTACCCACAGAGTGAAGATGGTCTGTAAAAATATGGGACGCTCTGCCTATATGCCCGATGCGCCGAAAGGCGTGAAAAGGGAACTTTACTTTTTTTTTTTAATTACTTGAATGTTCTTATTTCCTGTGTGGCTTCTGTGGTCCCTATTTGGGAACGAAAATACTGTCTCCTCAATAAGCATTTGATAAAAGTGAAGTTTGTGTCTGAGAAGTGAGAATCAAACAATCTTCATTCACATGAGCTAGATCTGCAAGACAGATATACATGCAACACTCAAGTTATGGAAAAACATTGAAGACCATAAGTGGATGAATAACTAGAATGTTCCACTGTAATAAACAGCCGGTGAAAGCTAAGTAGAAGAGAAATAAACATTGCTGGTGAAATGATAACTTTGAAAAAAAAAATTGTTAAGAGTTTTGGTGAATGGATACTCAGATGAGATATATCATACCATGTGAACATGTGAACAGAAAAGTAACTACTTGAGTGTACCTAATGATAATAATAATAATGAAGTAAACCATACCCAGTTCAACCACTTCCACCTCGTACATAATTTCTCCAAATGTTCAGCTCTGTCACAAATCAGAAATGGTAATGGTATCCTGGAGAGAAAAACAGTAGATGAACACTGGTATGTATTACATGTAGTTAAACTAAATGACACCAATGCTTACAATTTAGTTTCTATTTACACGCCAGTGACACATCAGGCATATGAGGCTAGACCCACATATTTTAGAGGCCAATGAATTATCATTGATGGATGATGTCATCAACAACACAGCGGCCACCTTCACTTCCCAGAACTTTACCTGGTACCCATGTAAGGCTGGGTCGACCTGGAGCCAGTTTCATTATGAAATTACAAGCATACCCCTTTTATCCTTGATAACCAAGATGTGTTGACTTGAATGAATAACTGTTTAGAGATAAATGTGGTTTCCTTGCAGCAACAACCTGCAGCAACGAAACCTTACCAGCAATTGACAATGGAAGAAATGAAAACTGTGTTGGCAATGGCAGCAAGATGACTTGTGTTGGTGTCTGTGACCAGGGACACTTATTTCAAAATGGGACTAACTCTACAAGCTATTCTTGTGTAAATGGAACATGGAATGTGGATTCTCTTGTACAGTCATGTATCAGTATGTATTCACTTGTTGGCTTGTCGTTACACAATTGAATAAATTATAAGAAAAAGGCATGTAAAAAAATTCGATATCATTATAATTATTAACATTAAATTTATAGCAGACTAATTTTAGCACTCATAATAAATAGATACATAACAATATTACTGGCAATTTAACAGAAACAAAAAAGGAAAACATCTTTCATCACCATTACATGCATATATTTCCTGAATGTATATTGAAGTCAGTAATTCCTTTAAATTTAAAAAAAAACGTGGCAGCATTAGAGCAGTTGATAGGAGACTTGCTTTCAAATCCAGCTGCGACTCACTGCTGCCCACGGCCGGTGTTTGAAACCGGAAGGTTCCCTGGATTTACCCAGCCTCCAGGAAATGGGTATCAGAGTTAACACTCTGGGGTGCATCGAGGAAGTCGCTGTAGCTATAGAGTTTTGTACAGACGTCGACACAGGCAGAGTTTTTTTTATCAACTGTCCGTTCTGGTAGCAGAGCACTTATGGTATATAATTGTGTGCAGTGACGCTGATTCACATCTCCCGACTTTATTTTTGATTCATTTTAATAAATTCTAACATATGTAACAATTGAAAGTGAACAATTGTTTGATATACAGGAAACTCTTACTGAAACTATTACAAGTATAGAAATACCATTTAAATCACATGCAAGGCAACAGAAATGCAGAAAATTAAACCCTGTCATCAACAGTACATGACTAAACTGATGGAAAAACAGGCATGTCAACATTTGGTGCTAACTTGTAGTTACTGGTAAAATCTGCTGTTAGACTAATATTTGACCAGTCAGCCCTCAGTGAGTGATGTAGCCAACATTTTGCCAGTTACCTTTAATTCCCAGAATATTTCCTGGTACATACTTTAAAAAACCAACTTTGGAATAAAAACATAATAGAAAAATCGTTACATGAACTTTTTGTTTTGTTGTTAATCAGACAGTTAAATAGCTTACCACCATACACTATACTTCCTTCCTTCTCAATGAATATTTATTGTACTTCTTTATAGAATACTATTTATATCTTAACTCTTTCAGTACCAGATGGTTTAATGGAAGGTACATAAAGTGAGGAACATACTAGAGAAAAAAATATAAATAAATTACATTCCAAGTGGCAACATGCACATACACAGAGTGACCATTTGGGATAGCCAGATTTCTTTAGCACGTTCGGATCAAATATATATTTAAAAAAAAATAGAGCACACAATGCTAAAGAGTGACAGCAATGTGTAGATTAATTCACACACCAGGTATTGTTAGGATTTAAAGAGGTAATATATATATCACATTTCCTGTGCTTTCGTGTGTATGTGATTGTAATCATGTAAAGATGACCTTAAACATCTCATATCTTTTTTTCTTATTCATTGACATTTTCCTACTTTATCAGTGACCTCATTTCCTTTGTATGCTGGACATCCTTCTTCTGTGTTCACCTTAAAAGAGTGGTTACACATTGTGCTATGGTTTATAACTAGGCTGTGATATCTGCACATTTTTGGTTCAACAGATCCAATAATAAAAATATATTTTAAAATTTAGCAGAACCATAATTAGTAATTTTTATGACATGCTTGTTGGAGGAGGGGGGGGGGGGGAGCTGGGCGGCAAGGCCTTCATTCCCCCCACCCAGACCCCAGACCAATAAACACTTGGGAAATATATAACATACAATAGCAAATTATCAATCTGTTTTGCTTTTCAGAAATGCATGATGTGATTTACAACTATGATGTGTCACTAATATACAACCTCAATGGCAGTAAAATTCCACCTTCAGCTCAATATGATCGTACGCTCTGTTCAGACAGACACTGCAGTTTTCTGTCCCATCTTGTAGAAAACATCTCAGCTTGTGGATACAATACTTTCAGAGTCATCAATTGTAGAAGTACAGAAGAAGGCCACAGTAGTGTAAGTATATCAGAACAGCAGATCTAGGGAGCGTTTGATCCCATACAAGTATTTGTTTAGTGAGGTACCTAATAACCTATCTGCATTTAATTTAAGAAAAAGTACTTATTACTATACGAATTGGTTTGAGTGAAATGCAATATCAGTGAATAATGTGAACATCAATTTTTTAAAAAATCTTTTCTTTTATTATACACTATAATCATTTACAGCCACAATCTCTTTGTCTCTCTCTCTCTCTTTTGTTTTTCCACACACATATACATATGCACATATCTATGCAGGCAAGCGCGCACAAACACACATGTATAGAAATATATAGAGAGAGGTGAGGAGGAGGCAATAATAAGAAAATCTTACATATAGATTAGATAATTATTAGATTAGATTATTTAAAAAACAAAAAATCCTAAAACTGAGAAATGTTTTAAATCCACACTGGTCATTAACATGAACCTTTAATTTTGATGTTGTTCTGTAATCACAACAAATAAAAGATAGATACCAAGAATGCACACAATTTACAGTCATACCAATTACATGCTAAGTTAAAAAAAACATGAAAATCTTTTCAGTGTCATAATGTTACTTTTTAAAATCACTTTCACCATTTCCTCCATTCACCCCAGAGTGTCAACTCTAGTACCCATTTCCTAGAGGCTGGGTGAACCCCGGAAACCACCCGGTTCAAACACCGACCGTGGCTGCAGCTGTCTTTGAAAGCCTCCCATCGACTGTACTAACGCAGCTCTATGAATTCTGATTAATCAGTGCCCTAATCTCAGTGTTTACGGTGGCAGTTATCTGATTCCTGCAATACCTCTCTTGTGTTTTGACAGCCTTAGACAAGTTATGCAAGTCTACTGGTGTATCCGTCCATTATTTTTCATGGCTGATCTCGTCTAGGTCTCATACTTGCTGGATTTGATTTTCTGTCTTGGCCATCCAGGATGAGATTCTTTTGAGATGGATCCCTTTTATTTAAAGAGATTTAATAACAACTGCTTAGTATTGAACGATATATAAATCTTGGTTTACCCAAGAAATGTACTGGTCAAATTGAACTGAAACTATTAACCACAGGATGCTGATATATATATGCATAGATTATATTTTGATGGAGAAATCTGAGTATCTTCAGACATGTCAGGTGCTGTGAAGATAACCCAACTCGTAACTTGTAAAATATAACAATTCTGCTCTGCTGGGAATTGAACCCAGACCATTGCCATTACAAACTTATTCCCTAACCAGTGTCCCATGCGAATTTAGTAAGTCACTAAAGACTATATTTATAAACTATCTAAAACTATCTAGCAGTGAAGGAAGAAATAGGGGTTTTTGAGCTTAAATGCTATAGAAAGATACTCAGAATACCATGGACAAAACAGAGAAGAAATACTGACAACCTAAAAGATCTGAACATCAAGGAAGAATTAATAGCATGTCTCAAAAACTAAAATATTTTTGGCTATAGCAAGCACCACAACAGACTGGATAAAAACAATAGCAGATGGCTTGATGCTAGGAAGGAGAAGCAGGGGCTGACCAGCATGAAGATGCCCACAGGAATCAAAGTATGGGTATGACAGTTCATGAATCAAGACAGCCTGTGAGAGACAGAGTATCTTTCAGGCTGACAGTGATGAGAGCGATGTTCTGCAAAGGACCCATTACATGATGATAATACTTTAAAACTACTTCAGTTTTTTTTTTTTTTTCTTATCGAACACCGGCTGTGAATTCCAGTGGAAGGTCAGGTTAATCGTCTGCTTGGACTTTTGGCTTTCACCTGGACCTGATTTTTGCGTGTACAGCCGTTTTTCATTTTCCTGCCTCATGGGCAGCTGTACGCCGACTTCGAAGGAAGACGTCAGGCCTATTTCTAGGGTGATTGTGGCCATTGTTTTGTGTGGGTCGAGACGTTGCCTGATATGTGTGATGTCCACTTTGTCTCCTTCGCCGCAGGTATTGCCCCCGGAGTACCCCTTTGGGGCAGCCCCCTGTGGAACAGTTGGCCCTCAAGAAAAGGCAGGGGCAGATCATGGGCATTCCCCGCCATCCAAGGAGGCTTCCATGCATGCAGAGCCGGCACATGGCGCTCTGGTTCTGGGCTCACCCAAGGAATCGTCACGTCCTGCACATGCCTGCTTAACCTCACAACCGTATCAGGCCTCCCGCTCGACAGGGGCTGCGCCCTCTGGAAGTCAGCGGGGAGCAGCCCGTGGGTTTTGGACTTTTGTGACCACACAGATAGGTACATTCTTTTTTTCACTTTGGATTTCTTTGAAGAGCTGTTAGCCCGACAGAATTTTACATCCTGAATCAGGCATATCGTTATCAGTTTTGTCCCAACACTCGGGCGAGTGGGGTCTCTAGGTGTGGACATTCGGTCTTTTTCAGTTCAGTGCAAATTTTGGTCAGATTTTGATCCGTATGATCTAGTTTTGTCGGACATTTAGGCTTAGCCATCCGATGGATGGTTGCTGTTGTGGTGTACCACAGCGCGGTGACGACGACACTGAGGGTTAACCGAGGATGTACGTGAATGGCCAGCCTATGGATGGTTGCTGTTGTGGTGCGCCTCAGCGCGGTGACGACACACTGAGAATTAACAGAGGATGTGCAGTGAACAATGTTCTCTTTACTCCGCAGTCTTTTAACCAAGGGTTGTAATTTTGGCTGTACGTTTGGCAAACCTACTCATGTTCCTAATGAGTTTTGATAACATTTTTCACCCAAGGGTTTGGGGGCGGGCTGATGAGAGCCACAAGGACACATCACCTCTGGGGGCCGCCAAACTCCGAGATCCCCTGACAGCTCTGTTAATGCTCATTTGAGACATTATCTGTGGCGCACGACGAGGACGTGCTGTAGGGGTCTTGGGTGAGGTTCCGTACAACCAGGATAGTTAAGGACTGGCGCCCGATTGACGTACAGAGTATCTCCTTATACACATCATGTTGGACTTAACTTCCCCTCACGCCTGTGACATAAATCACAGCGCCACAACTACTTCAGTAAACAGATTTATCAAATAAAAATATTAATCGTGGTAATAATTTTTGTTGTTGTATTATATGTTTCAGGAAGACACATCTTTCACACTTCAACTATTGAGTGCTGATGGAAATGAGACCAGCTTACAAAATTGTAATGATACATTACAGAATCAGTCTGTGACTTTGTTTGGTCCTACATACCCTGGCAATGGCACCATGTCTTGCCTCTCACCTTGGTCTGTAGACTCAGGCTCTGTGGTTATTGTGCCAGTGAATAGTTCTTGTGACAACAATTCCATGATGGTAGACTACAAAGGGAGGAACTACTGCAGTAAGTTGTAAAAGATATCAATTAGTACATGGAAACATTGTTTAAATATTGAAACACATTGTCTGTGGCTTCCGGGTCCCTATTCTGGGGAAAACAAGAACAGACCTACTGCCTCTCCAAGCATGTAGTAAAAGTAGACTAATTGGGGGCTTCATTCAAAGTCAGAAGTCATCCTTCTGAGAGGCAAGGACCAACAGTCTGCATACATATAAGGCAGAAGTTCAAAATGGATCTGCACGCAACACTAAAGTTCTGGAACAAAACTTAAGTACAGAAGTGGATGAACAACCAGAACTTTTTCTCCAGAGTTTACATCCAGTGAACCATGGAGAGAGAGATAGAGATTAGGTTCACAGTATTTAGTATTATTTCAGATGAACACAATTTTTAAAGAGATAACAAATGATTTAATTCAGAATAACTGAAAATAGTAGTATATAATCTGCTATAGGTCAATATGTTCTAAAATACTAGGACAAGCATAAATCCATTGTTATATTTGATGTAGAATTTTAGTGTGTATCTTGTCTTCTTCTTGTCTTCTACTGCTTATGTCATAAAACATCACAGAGAGGAGTTAGATGTAGTTTCCTGCTTTTGTCTAGTTACATAGCTATATTAGTGTTATACTGCTTTTACTTCCTCCACCCCTTTTTAGTTGGCCTCCTTTCTTCAGGTCTACTGTTCTCATGTAGTACTTCTCTAGCTGCTGGCTTATTTTGTTATATTCTGACCAGATAACCAAACCATGTGATTCTTTGATGCTTTGATAAATCATTTACCTGCAGCATCTCTACCATTTACTTAGTTTATTGTCGGTGACTCAGTCTCTTTTTGTTCTTCCCCATCAAATTTATTATACATCTCAGATGTCGTAATTTAAATAATATAATGTATTCAAATTGCAATCTATGCATATATAATTTATTGTTCGTAAGTTAGGATAAAATGTTGAATGTTGAATTAGGAATCAACATCACAGCACTCTGGACACCCTCATAATCGCTCTGTCCCCATCTTTATATATGTTATGTTATGATGGATGAATTAAAGATAATAGCGAACCGTGTTCTGTTTCTTCTTCAACACTCAGTGCCTTGTGGCCAGGGCATGTCTTTTAACACCGCAACAGGGACATGTCATCAGTGTCCAGATGGATATTACCAAGATGAAGAGGGACAAGCAGTATGCAAAACATGTCCAAATGGAGTCCTCAAGTCTCATACACCACGGACAAAGAAAAGCCATTGTTTTGGTATGTTATTTGCCATGTGTCATTCTATGTGATATGTGTAATGTGCTGTTTTATGAAGAGTAGTTACGGAAATTATGCTCTGCACAGCCATCAATGTTTTGTATTGTTTATTAGTTTGCTGATAATTTTCTTCACCAGATGAAATAACGTTTATAAAAATGTCAACATGGAATGTGGAGTGGAATAGGGCAAGGCAGGGGGGGGGGGGGGGGGTTGGGAGGGAGAATGATGTGTGTACAATCAGTGTGCTACGGAAACAGTTAGCATATTAAAGCATTTGCTGCAGGAGACTGGTCATCTGTGGGTATGCTGAATGGACAGTGATGTCAATTATTAAATCAGTAATAAATAACCTTCACAAGTCACTTAACTGATCCACAATTTTCTTCAAAAATTGTCTGTTTCTCTAATAATTTCAATCTTTACAGGCTACAGTGTTCTAAACCTGTCTTCCACACTATGACCAGAAACTCATAACTATAAAAACAATAATGTGTGACCATTTATCCAGCAGCTCATGTAAAATACTAAACTTCCCCAAGTATAAGACAATGCCACGTATCAGACCCACTTTGATTTTGGGACCGGAAATTTTGAAGAAAAAAAACGTAAAATAAAAATAATGTGATTATAAAAAGTTACTGAACTCACGTAATATCATGAAAGTCCATGTTAACAGTACTACAATAAAACAAGTACAAGATTTCAAATATCTAGGAAGCATATTTACGAAGGTTGGCAGTCTCGATAGACAGACAGGTGCAAAAACTATTACAGTGAAAAATTAAAATTTTAATTTTAACCCCCTTCCCTTCCCCCACACCACTTCCCTATTTTATGTTGTCACTAAACTGGCATTCTTAAATAAGGCCATGTTAAGGATATTTTCTGACAAATCATCCGGTAAAATCTACTACCATTTTATAAGGCGCACATCGTTTTTATACCCTATATTTCTGGAAGATTAGTGTGCATAAACTGGGGAAAATACTGTACATATTTTACTTGACTTTTTCATTTCATATACCTTTATTTTTTAGATTGATGTGATAAAACAAATTTCTAATAGAAACAAATCGTGTTTGAAACCTTATATTTCATTTCATATTTTCATATTATAGAATTTTGTTGTTAGAGTTAGTATAGCAACATGTGACAGTACACGGTATTTTCTTTCAAACATCCGTATGTTTTCAATTTAAATGTTTTCTATGCCAGAACTCTGTCCTGGAGGATTCATCAGCACAAGTGGCTACAAAGAAGACAACTGCACTGCATGTCCTGAGAACCAGTTCAGCATTTCATCAAACTCTTGCCAGCCATGTCCAAATAATGGGTCTACCTTGGGCATATCAGGAGCAACATCAGTGACTCAGTGTTCAGGTAGTTCAGTGTACTCTAGATGAAACCACTGTGGTTTGCCAACTTGATTTTTTTTATAAAAATCTTGGGAAAAATAAGGGGTAATATTTCTTTAAAAAGGTAGTTAGGTAGTTAGTTGTACCCCACCAGGACATCACACAAGTGATAAACACCCGGTGACACAAAGTGCCCCCATGCGGATGAGAATCACCCGTGGAGACATCCTAGAAACCCCTTTCAGCCACTAGTCCATATCTATGGTTAGGCCATATTTATGGCCTGGCTATATTTGGGGCCCCCAGCAAAAGCCAGGGTGGGGCTTCAAAATAACAAAAAATTGTTGTTGGGGGGGGGGGGGGGGCGGGGGGTTGACATTTATAGGTAGTTCTTCGAAAAAATACATGATTAGTTAAGAACAAAAATGCTACCTTGTAATCGAAGTTACAAAAATAGGCATTCATAAAAATATCAACAATATTACATGTTTATATTTCTTCATACAGTTACGTGATTAGTTAAGAATAACAATGTCAAACTGTTACCCGAAAAAAATGCATAATTATATGATAGTGCATTTTTATTATTATTAGCTGATGGATTGCTGTATGCGGAAGAACTAGTTATGACCCAGATACAAAAGAAATGTAAAGTGATTGATTAAACGTGAGGCATGCTAGGTTTTTTGTTTTTAAGTACTAAAGCAGCATCCGATAACTATGCATTTTTAATAATAGTAAACTTTGCACCTGAGGTAAAAAAAAATGGCAGCAAAAACTCCCCTGCCCACACTGCACTCAAATGTATTGAAATTCATATTATGAAAATAATTCACAGTCGTGTTAATTGTTGCTTGTTGCAGGTGAAGTCTTGTTAATTACTGATGTCAGCAGGAAAAACTATTCTCTCTTATGATAAAGATGAAATCAACTACTTACCCATTGCTATTTAAATTCACAAGGTGGAAAATTGTCTCTTAAAGAATATCCAAATAAGATGCTTAATTTAGGCAGCAAATCAAAATTGAATTCCCCAGTTAAAATGGCATGGGTCTACTGTAACATTTACAACATAATTTGTGTGGTTGAAGGAGAAAGTGTAAGACATAATTTCATAATTTTTTGGATATAATATACGAGTCTTTTCTGTACCCATGGTGGATGGGCGATGGGGGGGGGGGGGGAGGTGAGGGGGGTAGATAAATAGACCCAAATCCTGTAATTAGAATGTCATAAAACGGGAATAATTTAGTGTTTGCTGAAATCGGGTGTGTTGGATCAAAAGGTGCATGTATGTCAGCTCAGTTGTGTACCACACCATAACATGTCAGCCTCATTTTTAATGGTGAACAGGAGAAGAAAAAGATCAATAAGTCTAAACAGGAAAGTCATCACAGTAATAGTTTATTTTCTTGACTTATGAAATAATATTTGGCAAGTGTAAATATGTTACTTTGAGTTAAGGCAATATAAAAATGGTACCGTATACAAACTAAAAGTCTTTATGTAATAATCCATCTGGCAAAACTTTCTGGTAGCGTTTTTCAAATGTTTTGACAACTCAACAATGTTGTCAAAGAACTCTAATGATTTATAAATGTTGTTAGCTGTTGGCTGATTTTTATTTGTTAAGTGAAATAAAGTGTATATTTCAACAGTTTCATCATATATGCTCATAGTTATGCACATATACTTTTAGAACATTATACAATTTTAAGGAATAAGCTGTATAATAATTACATTTTCTATTTTTTTTTTTTCAAACTGTAAATGGTACTTTTTCCCTCAGAGCCATGTTCTCCTGGAGAGTACTCAATCACTGGATTTAAACCTTGCTCTGCTTGCCCCAAAAACTTCTATAGTGACAGTCATGGAGCAAAGTTATGTACTGAATGTCCCTCAAACAGTACAACTGCAGGGAATGGATCAAAGTCATTCTCAGACTGTGTTAATGGAAGTATGTAGTTTCTGTAATCTTTCTGTAATAAGTTTAACAATGTTATAGTGGTTGTTTTGTACGACTGAGTCTATGCTATAGAAACACAATGCACTGCTTTGTTCGTATGAGCATTTTTGATCATAAATCAGTTTAGAAATAGTAAAGTAAGAAACTACTTCTCAGGCATTGAGGCATATTGGATACATGACACTAGGCCATATTTGTATAATCAATTTAGCACTTGACACGTGATCTGCTCAGTATCAAGCCAGCTGCTTTTACTTTCCATATTTCTTGGTACACTTTCTATATTCTGCTTTAGGTGGGTCGACAGCAGACTTTGCATTCATTTTGATAACAGTATGAGCGTCAAATCATTCAAAAATTAATAGCTTGCTCATCATCATCATGCCTCTCTACAACATGCAATCACCAACAGCATGTATATGTTTATAATTTGGCACCCTTCCATGCTTTGACAGAAGGTTGTCAAGAATCCTCTCATATTGTCTTCCCCTGTCTCTCTTTCCATTAATTTTTACAGTAGTCATATGTTCCAGTTTTTCACTTCTCATAACATTACCAAGAAATTATGACTGCCTCCTTCTGATGTTGATGATAGTTGTCTTCAGGTCCAGTCACCAACATCAGAAAGTGAGTCTTCATGGCTAACTCTCTTTACTGCTAAAGGTAAAACTAACTAGTAAAACCAATAGCAGTCAAGAAATCAAGGAAGCTATCACAGTTACTGAGCTTTTTTAATCAGTTGTGTAGGGGATCATATTTCAATCAAATAGCAGATATAACACTGTTATAAAAATCATACTCGGGGTTGAGATTGAAGACAAGGAAACAAATGGTAGACTATACTTTAAATAAAAGGCTAACATCAAAATATGGATAAACAAAGTGTGTTAGTTGCGTATTCTTTACAGGGCGTTGCAGAGCCAACACCAGCATTTTTTGGCTGTTGTGGTTTTTCTAGGCAACTCTATGTCCAGTAGTTTGCCATTACTTTCTGGACCGTTGGCTTCTCAATACCACTGTCGAAACCAACTCAAGGCACAACGCCGCAGCTTGGATCGAACCCGGCACCCCGGCATTACGAAGCTCGTACACAACACCTAAGCCACAGACACAAAGTGTGTACAACGAGAATAAAAGAGTGTTGGAAGTAAACTGCTGCCAAATTCACGGCGGAGATGTTATTTTAGTAACTGAAAGCTCAGTTTGATAGTTTGATGCATGGAAGGTTGATTTTAATAATCTTTAACATTTAAGATTTAAAATATATAGTTATTGATTCTATAGGCTCACTCTGCACTGTCGACTTCTGCAACCCTAATGGCACAGAGAACAATAATGTGTGTGAGATTCATGACCACAGACCTGTATGCTCTTGTAAACCAGGTAAATACTGTAGTTTTACATGTGGTTAATCTTCTTATACGTTCACCTTTAAAAAAAGCAGTTGGCCTATTTAATTTAGGTGTGCAGCTAGGCTGCAATATCCACATCATTTGGGCTAACGTGTCTGATTTCAGCAAACACTTAATTAGTCACCTTTTACAATATGCTTGTTAAGGGACAGTCAGTCTCCCCCCCCCCCCCCCCCCCCCCCCCAACCCTAATTCGGGTGCTGCCATCCACATGAGGATGTCTGATCAATGAAATGTTAGTGACTTTCTAAAACATAGAGACAGTATTTGTATTTATTAACGTTTCAGTATGATCACTGTAACCCCAGAGCAAATCCTGTCAGTGTGTGAACTGGCATCTCTTTATTTATATTAGATTACAGAATTAAATTCAGCTAAAATCTGTACATACTTTATTTTAGGGTATGGTAGGCCACACTACATCACTTTATGTATGTTGTTACATTTCATACAATTCATTACATATGCTGCAATCTGTATGCATATTGCACTGCATACATTGCATACCCACATTGCACAGACATATTGTTTATGCACAGTACATATGTGCACACTGAACTCACATGTTGCATATGCATATTATATGCAGAGAAAACACACACAGTGCACACATGTTATAATGCAGATTTCCTTGCACATGTTGTTCATGCAGATTGCACAAGCACTTTACAAGTGCAAATTACATGCATACTTTACATAAGGCAACAACAGTAGTAGAGCTGCTAGCCTACAGCGCCAAGTGTAAATGCTTGAATCAGCACAAAACCAGTCCTAAATTAGATACAAGGCAGCAAATTAACGGTTTGCCCATTTAGAGAGAATGCCTTGTGACGCCATGCATCAAAAGAGAAGAAGGACGTAGAAAACTTGGTAGACCAAGAAAATTTAGAAAGATAACATCAGAGAAACTCTACAACAGCACAATGTGTCTACAATAGAGACAGCCAGAGGAGCAAGAAGCAAAATATTATTTTCTTCTTGTTCTTCTTTAGCATTCTGAGCAGTATCACCCACCTCTATTCATCTCTCTGGTTGGTCTTCTCTTTCCAGTTGTCAATATCAAGTGTTTGTATTTCTGGATATTATCTGGCTATTATTTTAGTGGCCTGCCTTGTAGGCTACGACCATTCAGCTGCCTTGTGTAAACAGTTTTTATCGCTCTGTCTTTCAATATGCCCCAGCCATTTCAGTCTATTAGCTCTCATGATGCCAGTGATCAGGGGTGATTTAAACATATTATGAATTTTGTTTGTTGCTTCTCACTCTTCATTTCCTGCTGTTTTCATCTTTGATCTGTCCAAATATTCATCGCAAGGCTTCATCTCTTTTAGTTGTGCTCCAGGTTTCATAGTCAAATAAAACAAGTGGTCTTATCAAAGTTTATATATTTTTATTTTGGGGTTGCGGGATAGAGACTTTGACTTTAGCAGAAATTAAACAGCATATCATACAGAACATTATATCTCCCTCTCTCAATATCTGAAGCAGTAAAAGAAGTGAAAAAGAGGGAGAAGAAGAAGAAAAGAAGAAATCCCCTTCAAGGTTGGCATTTTTGAAAGCTACTATTCACTTCAGGTTAACCCATCCTTAAATGGGTAGCAGGAAATGTTGTAGGAAGGTAAGCTGGCAGGCATTATATTGACCACATCACAGATGTAGTTCTAATTGGTTTAAACATATGGGACAACCACCATTTTGCAGTAGCCAGCATGATGTAAAAAACTGGACATTTGACATATTATGTATCTTCCATGGTGCCAAGTGTCTGTGATGTGATTCTTCATATATATATAATTTTCTTTAGCGGCAGCCAAGATAAATTAATTTGTGTGTGTGTATTCCTGTTGAAGATCACAATTTAATTCAATTTATCTTTAACTTCACTTGTACAATCACTTTTCCCAGGGCGATCCTTTGTTTATTTAATCTATTTTGTTAAGAAAAAATTGTGATTTTTTTTTTGGGGTGGTGGAGAGCTGGTCTGGGTTACTACAGTTGAAAACAATTTAATCCACATGATCTTAATCTTCAGTTGTACAACCCCCTGACTCCAGTCAATCATCATTTAATTATAAATATTTTTCTCCAAAATTTTCACTATTTTGATTTTTGTACTGTAAGATCAGGTGTTTTTTTTTTAATGATTCACTCTGTCATAAAAGTATGCCAACTGATAACAAACAAAACAAATATTGATTACAAAAAAAAAAAAATGTGCAAGCAGCTGAGCTAATGAACTGCCACTAAAAGTCAACAACTGTTGGTAAAGAATATGTTGACGTGGCTTCTAATAGCTAGCCTTATATATAAATAATCATCATTTTGACCATTGTAGAATAGCAGTAATTTTAGATTTTTAAATCATTAATCATTGCATTTCAGGTTACTATGGAGATTCCTGCAGCAATAAGAGCTGTGATGTCTGCAATCCAAATCCATGCTATAATGATGGCGTGTGTACAGCTTCTGGGCTTAACTTCACATGCAATTGCAAAACTGGTAGACTATTAATTTACCTAGACTGTTTCTTTATCAATGAGAGGTAGGTATAAGTACATTTCTGTGGCTCTGGCACCATTAATATTGGAACTCTGCTTGCTACTGAAGATGGAGAGAGATCATTCATCGGAAGATTCCAAGGGCTGTTATGTCAGTTCTTATCACTTACATTTTCTACTAACTCAGTGCCAAACTGCTTTCTCAATGCAGCTATGGTGCAGAGCTCCTTAAGCTCAGAAAGAAGTGGGGTGTGTAAAACAAATATTCAATGTGTTATCTCGATAATTATAATAGTGGATGTGAGGATCTCCAACAAGCTGTCTCTTTTTTTGGCTGTACACACTCCCAGACTGCTGTTCATCCTTTTACTGATGTCATCTTCCCACTTGTATTGCTGTCTACCTTTTGCTTTCTGTCAGATGTAGTATAGTTTTGTAGATATATTGTTATATAAACATAACAAGCTCTAAAGGTAAATTCAGTGGCAGAAGGAAAGATTGAGCTTTGGAACTGCCAAAAGTGAGATCAAACTGTGAGCCAAATTGTGACCCTTTGAAAATACACTTCACTCATTTGTTCATTCTCTTACCCTCAGCTTTTAGCGTAATCATTACCAAAGTCGTCCCCTCGTGGGATGCAATTTTTTTTGGTTATTTTTAAGCCCCGCCCTTGCTTTTGCCGGGGGCCCTGAATATAGCTATAGTTATGGCCTAAACAGCTGAAAATGGTTTCTGGGACCTATCCATGGGGGAATCCTCATCCACATGGTGCTACTTTGTGTCACCGGGTGATTATCACTTGTGTGATGTCCTGGGGGGGGGGGGGGGGGGGGGGGGGGGGGGGGGGGGGGGGGGGGGGGTTACAACTACCTACCTACTGGAACTTTGACATCATAATTTGCCCCTAGCCTTATTGTTAGAGTTTTAGGATTAGTGTTCAAATTCTGATGAGATCACAGGGTCATGTTATGAATCATCCGATGTATTTATTTAGACTTCAGATAATGAATTCTGTTTAAGCCTTTAATGCTTCTCTCTGTTTATTGATTACTCCTTACATAAATTCTATAAAAAATGTTTTGTTAGATAAGACAATTTTTTTTAAATTTACTATCCACCATATATCAAATATCATATCTCAGTCATATCTCAGGGTAGCTGCAGACACAGACCACCCTCTGCATGAAGCTCTGGGTGCAGTTAAGGGTCAGCGGCTGATAAGAGGGGGGTCATGGATGGCTCAGGCAGAAGACACAATCAGACAGGTTTGCATCCTTGAGAACACTAGGCGAGGAGAGGAGTGGGTCAAAGTGCCACCTGAGAAGTCAGATTTGTGTAGTCATAATCACGCTGAGCCGGGAATGCAGAGACTGGCCAGCAGATGCCACAGAGGTGGAAATTCAGCAAATAATTCAATATAATGCTCGCTTAGAGGATTTGATCATTTACACAGACGGTTCTGTGTCAAGAGGCAAAAGAAGTGCTTGGGGCTTCTTAGCAAAAGTTAATGGTCGACGTTTGGTGCAGGAGAGCCTAGCATATGATACCACAACATCCAGCTTAAGAATGGAGGTGGAGGCAGTCACTTCAGCTTTCCGCTGGCTAGAGAACAAGACACACACACACATAGTGATTGTAACTGATTCAGAAATCATGCTGAGGAAGATCAGAACAGGTATGCTTCGTGCAGAGTGGCATGCTTCGCTGCAGAGGACACGAGTGAGGAGTATTGTCTGGATTTTTTCACCAGGTCATGCAGGTGTGTTGGGAAATGAACAGGCGGACAGACTGGCTGGCTCTGCACAACTTGGTGGAATACTGCTACATGTTAGGGCAGACGTGGTTAGTGCCTTGTGGGACAGCATGTCCAATTCGGAGGAGCAGATGGATCACCACAGTCTGGTGAGATTGATGCAGTTGGGGGTGACGAGAGGTTCTGGCAGATGCTCGAGGCTCAGAGGAAAGGCAAGACGGATGTTTAATCAGAAAGCTACTGGCACCATTAGTATCGGAACTTTTGCTGGCTGCTGAAGATGGGGACAGAGCGCTTATGGGAATGCCCCGAGTGCTGTGATGTCGGTTCTTGAATCAAATCAAATCAAATATATCAAATAGTTTATTATAATAATTTTTTTTTTTACAGGAAACATTTTGAATTACCATCAGTTACTGCCTTTTCAAAGTGGTTTTTTTTTTTGAAGAAAGGGTTAATAAAATACTATTTTCTTTAGAGCTAATAATTTAAAGACTTCTTTTAATACAGTCAAACTTTTGAAGAAATAATATAGTAAACATACATTATCATTTACATTAGATGAGTAGCTGCTCTCTCATCCATGGTGTAGTGGCTAGATCCTCACCTCCAGGCCCAAAGGTCATGGGTTCAAATCTGCATCGAACTTTATTTTTTTTTTTTATAATGACTTTGGCTCCCACTTCAACCCAGCCTAAAATGGGTACCGCCGCCTTCTGCCTTCTATCCCCCAATTGGGCATAGGCCCTCAGCCAACGCACACCAACTTGTTCTATTCTTTGCTATTGTACGCAGCTCTCCCCATGTTCTCCCCATCTTTCTAGCTCCCTTACTCATATGATTTGTGTGGTTTTTTTTGTTTGTTTCTATGCTCCTGTGGGTTCCAGTGAATAGACGTTCTAGTTATATTGTTCTCAGGTTTTCTCAAAATGTGTCCTATCCAATGTGAGCGTCTTTTCTTCACCTCTTGGTCCACTGGAACTTGTTTAGTTCTCTCCAAAAGCTCTACATTGGTGATTCTATTATACCATTTAATTCCCTCTATTCTGCACAGGCACCAGTAAAAAATATTTGTAGTTTAAAAAAAAATTATTTAATAATTCCCTCAGTTGTTCTCCATGTTTCCGCTCCATACAACAGTACTGATTTGAAATTAAAATTAAAAATTTAAAATTTTAGTTTTAGTTTAAATTTCGTTTTTTTATTTTGACACAAATTTCCTAGTACTATGAAAGCTTCTCTTGCCTTTTGTTTTAGTATTTTAATATCTTCCCCCATTTTATCTACATCACGGCCTAACTAGGCATACGACTCCATGTCTTGGAGTTGAATACCATTTAGAGAAACCACATATGTCTAAGGACCTGGAAAAGATTCCTTTGACTTGCCCATCCATATATCTACACCCTCACCTAGTCTCCTGGCTATCTACACAGATTTACAAACACATAAAATGTACATTATGGGAACATACTTGGACTTATACATGTCCATACATCTGTGTCTGTATGCGGATGAGACAGTTAGGGGCAAGCACAAGCATGAAAGACACATATGTATTTATATGTAGATATGTATGTGTGTATATATATATATAGATTTGAATGATTAACAAATCTCTTTCTTTATTGCAGAAACTAATTGCACTTTCAGCAAAAATCCTCACATCATTTACTCAACAAATGATCCCAGTATACCATGGTCCCTTAATGGAAATAATACATGTCGTGATTTATGTCACAAAAGCTTTAGCTGTGTGGCCTATTTAATAGACGATGCTAATGCCTGCTACCAGTACAACAGGTTACTTCTTGACAACACAATTATTAATATACATCAGTCTTACATCAAGAATTGTGCTGAGCAAAAGTGTAAGCATGTTATGATGTGATAACTTTATAAAATTTAATAAATGAACAACTTTTTATTCAGTAAAACCATATTTTCCATGTATTTAAATAATCTTTGAGCTCTGGCCTGGAGAGAATGAGGCACCTGGGTCTGACCAGAGGGTCTGGCCGGTCCACTACACTTAGAGTAAAGGCAAGACGGACATATAACAAGACTGTGACCTGTACCATCAGCATTGGAACTCTACGCTGGCTGCTGAAGATGAGGTCGGAGCACACATATGAATGCCCGGAGTCCTGTAGTGTCAATTCTTGGTTAAACTTAACTCTTTGAGCTCGTATAGAGTAGCAGCTAGAGTAAGCTTGCAAGACTCAATGGTTGAGCTTGTGTGTCACAAGTTGAGTATTATGGTCAGTTTATAGACCTAACAGCATTAATAAGCATGGCTCATGTCATATAGATGTAGTACGTTGTGGCAAGATGCGAAAATGGGAAAATTTTCTGAAGTAGTCGCAATATTTAAGAGAGACAGTGTCAAAATTTTTTTCTAATAGTCAGGGCTGGTAGATGTAAACGTATATGATTTTCCAAATGCTGTGAACAATTGTGCAGTTAAAAGAACTAGACATTACAGCTTTTAGAGCTTGTCATCTCTTTTCTTCTTTACTGGCCCATCTAAAATTAGTAGTAGTAGTCGAGATGTCAACTTTACTGCAGATGGGTCATGCTATAATCTTTCCATTCCTGTGTCAATGTCAATAAAATAAAAAGTCCCTCACCATCCCATTTGAAAACTATTGGATAAACAATTCATCATCAAGTGCCCTGCTGACTAGGTCTGCAGTCTGTGATCTGCAACTGCATGTATCAGTGCACATGCTGATACCCCTCCATGCCATAACAAAAGGCTGTCAAGAATCTTTTCATGCTGTCTTCCTCTGACTCTCTTTCCAAAGATGTTTCCAGTAGTCACAGCATGTTCCATTTTTCCTCTTTTCATATGACCAAAAAATGTTGACTGTCTCTTTCTGATGTTTGTGAAAAGTTGTCTTCGAGCATTCGCCTCCAAAACCTCTAAGTTACTTTTCTTAGCTGCCCAAGATATTCTAAGGATTCTTCTGTAAAACAACATCTCTGAGGGCTCAAGATATTGTTTAGCTTGTTTATAAATTGTCCAGGATTCACAGCAGTGTGTTAAAACTGGCTCTACAAACAATTAGTCCTGGCAAAATCCAGAAACATGCCCAAGCAGTAAATTCATTAAACACCTGCTAGAGATTCCAACACCAAAAGTCACCACCAGACTTGCAATTTGTTATTGATGGAAGTAAGTAGTCAATCATGTTAAGCTGGACATACCCACACACAAATATTGCATAATGCATTTTGCCAGTGCAGAGACAAACCAAATATGTGTCTTTTTTTTTTCTTCTGAATTTAATGTCACAGCCAGTGTGGGCACAAATTAAAGGCATCTAATATGAATGTTTAAAGCTCTTATTTCTTCACTGAAAATGTTGCTCGTATTCATCAAACTAAATGCTGCTGCCATTGATGTGAGTATCGACATAAAACTGACATCTAAGGACTGATTACATACGCATTAACATCTCTGTGTCCATCTTCAGCAACCAGTGTCAAGTTTCAATCCTGATGGTACCATTATTATTGTGATTGTTCGTCTTGCCTTTTCTTTGACTGTTGAGTGTCAGCCAGATCTTCTGATCACTCCCTAAGACACCATTTTTCCCAGTCTGTGATAATCCATTTGTGCTTCAGCCGTGTTCAGTAACTCACACATAACTTGATTACCATCTTACTTGTATCACAGCTAACTATAGAGATCCTTATTTCCCAACACATCTTCACACCTGGCAACAATATCGAAAGGTGCTAACTACCCTGGAAACTGGTTATTCAGAGGTGTCATGAAAATACAGAACATTCCTCAAAGGAGCTGCTACAATGAAATGATAGTAAAAATAATAGATATTCTCTTGTCTTTCAGACTTATGACCCTTTAGTCAAAATCTTCTTCTTCAGCTTGTTTTAGCTCTTGCACTCAATCGCTGCTAATTTAACCTGCCTCCAGTCGTCTCTGTGATTGGCCTTATATTTCTAGTTGGTGACTCCAAGTGTTTGAAGGTCTGCTTGGATATTATCTCTCTCATCATCTTGCCATTGAACACTCTTGTGTACACAGTTTTTGCCTCTCAGTTATCTGCCATTGAGTAAAACATGCATCATAATCAAGTGCCTTGCCAGCTGGCGTAGGCGTTCATGTATCTCCACAGATCTTGGTCTTTGGTGTTCTGGATCAAATCTGCTGATGATATTTTTCAATGCCACTGTCTTAAGCCATCCACCATCATTTCTCTTAGTCTGCCTCTTTAACCAGTGATATTTCCAGTCGTCAAAATATTGTTTAGTGCTCCTTTTCTCATCATTTGTTTTTGTCTCCTTAGTGTTGTATATAAATTTAAACATTATCTAATTAAATCAGTATTGGTCTCTTTTGGTATCAAGAAACTCAGCAAAGGTTTATTGATTACTCAATAGGTGGTATACATTTTATAACTTGTCCTTTTAGATTCTCTGTAACAATAGTCCTTTCTAACCCAACTATTACTTAAGCTTCTTCTCTCATATAGTTAATTTAGGTAAACTCTTAAGATTCAAAGATAGTTGCTCTGTTGTAAGCAAACTTTTGGATAGGCAATGCAAAACGTTAGTCAAGAGAGTGAGCATTTGTTACTTCATATTCTACATTTCGAGTCTGTGTAGCAATCAAATATTTGAACAAGCAGAACACTACATTGTTCGTCTTTAAAACAACTACATACTGTGTATCGTCGTTGCCTCATGTTTCATGCAGTGTGCTGAAACTGTTCTTTTGTGATTTATGGAAGGAAAGGATAAATATGTGATTTAAAGCATCTCTTAAATTTTTTATTTGATTTTGGCTATTGACCCACTTAAGCATCTGCTGTGAAACATTCTGGCACTGAAAGGATAAAGATTATACGTCAATATTTGTATCAGGCAAATTGTGGGAACGACACCTTGTTCCAGATTCATCGAGAAACAGCAGATCAAGTGGTTTGGCCATCTCGTTAGAATGCAGCAAGATCAAATACCATCACAAGCACTACATCTCAGAAGATGAGCTACAAAAACAAGAGGACGGCCGCGGAAAACATGGATCGACAACATTAAAGACATTCTATGCCTTCACGGCATGACAATAGCCAGTGGCAGCCAACGTGCTCTGGATCGCAAATTATTCCTCCCCATGACGCTTAATGGCAGAAGTTGTTTATGATGATGATTATGATTTGTATTGGAAGTTTCTAACTATTTCTTTATTACAATTGTATTAACATATTATTTAAGATAAGTTTATTTAGTATTTATACATGGCTGTGTCAAAAGCTAAAAGGGGTTGTCATAGAACTAGGAAATTTGTGGAGGTCAAAAGAAATTCAAACTAATACTAAACCTAAAATGGTTATTTCTAACGTCAAATCGCTACTGCTGTATGAAGCGGAAACATAGAGAACAGCTAAGGTAATTCCTAACAAACTACAACCATTCATTAACTGGTGGCTGCACAGAATAGAGGGAATTAATTGATATTATAGGATCACTGATGCTGAGCTTTGAGAGAGAACTAAATAAGTTCTAGTAGACCAAGAAGTACAGAAAAGCTCTAACATTGGATAGGACACATGAGAACACCTGATAACAATATAACTAGAATTTATTTGCACTGGAACACCCAGGGGCATAAAAATAAAGGAAGGACCCCCCCCCCCCCACCCCCCCAAAAAAACACACAAAAACACATTAAAAAGGGAGCTAGATAATGATTTTAAAAAGAGGATAGGATATGGGGAGAGCTGCATGCAATAGCAAAGGATAGAAAGATGTGGCTAGAGTTGTTTGAGGGTTGGCAAAACCCTAGTGGGAAATAGAAAGCAGAAGAAGTGACAATTAACTGTTTTGTGATTTTCTTACAGTATTTGATGGACAACTGTGTGAAAGAGACTTGACAAATGACTGCGATCTTGATATGTGTGCCAGCAAAGAATTTTGTCAAGATCTTGTAAATCACACTGAGTGTCACTGTCCCTATGATGGAGGAAACTATGACAGCAAGTGAGCAACTATCAGACATTTTTTTTTACTTGTTTTCTTATAACAAACTATATTTCTAATCACTGGAAGATGTGGCTTGTTTTTCTTTTTATTACATATTTCTAAGTTTGAATTTCATACACTGTAAAAATGAAATATTCATTTTGTGATGGTAAAACAAAAAGGTGTTTTGTGATCTTCTAAGGAAACAATAAGAACAATTACATACCTTACAAGAGAGCTGTTGTGATTTATTGGCTAGACGCTTGCCTATGGATCTGAATGTCTTGGGTTCAGCTTTTTGCTTTGCATATTTTTTTTAAAGTAATGATGACACATTTTGTTGAACTTGTTACATATCTTAGATTTGGTCAGTGTTTTTAAATGTATTACTAAGTAAAAATAAGTGAAAAACAAACAGTATTATTTCTTTGTTTTCTTTTCCCAGTCGTTATGTCTTACCCTCATTCTCAGATAAAAGCAGCTAGTTAATTTCTAATGTTATTTCAGAGGTCCTCGATAGTTAGCGTCTTTTAGAAATTTTCATAAAGTCATGCTGGTGTGTTAGAAAATGAGCAGGCAGACAGACTGGCCAGGTCTGCACAACTTGGTAGTGAATTGATGTATGACATGCTAGATACTGTGGAGGCCCTTTAGGAGTGAGTGAACAGTGTGGAAGCACAGATAGATCCTTAAGGTCTGAGTAGACTGGCGCTGCGAAAAATTACAAGGGGATCTGGCTCATCACTCAGGGGGAGGGTGAGGCATATATACAATCAGACAGTTACTGGTGCCATCGAAATTGCAACTCTTTGTTTGCTGCTGAAGATGGCGACAGCGCTTATAGGGGTGTCCCGAGTGCTGTGATGTTGTTTCCTAATTCAACATTCAACAACATTCAACATTTAATGTAATTTCAGTTTCTTTTTTATCAAATGGCTTGTACATATTTTTATGTTTACTGTTCCATAAATTAATTTGTGGTATGGCCTAAACAGCAATTTTTCTTTAAAAGCAGAATTTAGTGTTCGAATGTGTTTTAAATTTTAATAATTTTTAAAAAATATATTGTTGTAGTTGTATGTTAGTTAACTAATATATGTATTCATGTTTGAAATTCAAAGGTGTGCAAAACCAGACGATCCGTGCCAGAGTAATAACTGCAGCCTTCATGGGAAATGTATCTCCTATGGCTCTTTACGTTCAGTCTGCGAGTGTGACCCAGGGTATACAGGAGATAAATGTGAAACAGACATAAGTGAGAATATTTTGTGTTTGTGAAGTTTGCTTCCATGTCCTGTGTTTTATATATGCTTCATGATGAATAATAGATGGCACTACACTTGAAAGAGGCTTATAGGTGCTCAGTCTGCAGACAGAATTCTCCGCTTCAGCAAACAAAATCTACAACATTATAAAGGGATTTGTCCCCATGTAGCAGCTAATGGTTTCTCAATCAACTTTCTTCATGTTCAATGCTCCAGTGATAAATACTGTTGATGTCATTTCAGCCCTTTCATTTCATGAGGTCCAGGTTGACCATAGGTCTACACAATTTTTTTTTTAGGTTTGAGACCTCCACAAATGGCAGTCATTCAAATCACAGCCATAGTTCTGATTTTTTCCCCCCAAGAGTTAACAGAGAAATCACCATTTTGTCTTGCGTGTTTAAAAAAAAGTCTACCCAAAGAAATAATTCTGATTGTTCATAATCTGCTCCACTTGCAATGTCATCTTTGCAGTGATGAGGCATTAATTTAACAGTTGTAATCGCCACTTACACTTTTGATTGCAAAAAAAAATGCATTATCTTAAAATGTATTACTACTGTTTACTATTTATTACAAATACTCCATGGTTTATGTCTCACCAAGCCCTTAAAGTTGTTAACTGTATTAGCATAGCAAGAAATAACATTCACTAATGCTTACGCTTTCGTGCAGAAACTGTAATATGTGAGAGCTACCTGTTACTTATAGTACAGTGCTAGCTGAGCATGCATAGTCTAAACAGAGAAGCGACATAAAGGACATATGATATGATCACTCTGCAGTGTAATTATTAACTCCTAGCACTTAATCTTCGTCCAAACTGCTTACACACACTAGTTTCTAAAGCTGCAGCCCCTGAGGGTCAATATTTAGAAGTGCCTACACATTTTTATGCAGATCATGATGGCTCCTTTGGTTAACCAGAACATCATTTGCCAGCTTTGCATAATAGAAGCCTCAGTGGTTAATAGGAATGTCCACATATTCCTTCTCATAATGTCAGTTACAGAATATTAAATTGCTGTGTCTACTGACGTGTATGACGATTAATTTCATGCTGTCATTGCAGGTCTTATTACCATATCAAGACAAATATTCTGTTTAAAATTACTAAAATGTATTTTACAAATATAAAATACATGAACAGAATAATAAACATTGTTGTGTTAAATAGTAGCAGAGATTCCAGAATGTACATGTTTTGATTCCACACAATAATTGTAAACATAAAATAATAGCAGGATACAAATTAAACATGTATTATATCAAATACTATGTGGTCTATCAATTATCATATCTGCCCTTTAGATGAATGTGACATAAACAGCCAGGGCTGTTTGTATAATGGAAGCTGCCAGGATGGAGTAAACACTTACAGCTGCTCCTGTGTAAATGGTTTTTCTGGAAGTCACTGTGAAATCTTAGCAGATTTCTGTAATCACAATGATTGTAAAGTTGCTAATGGGGGAATTTGTACCAATGATTTTCAAAACTTCACTGCGAGCTGTACCTGTGGAGAACATTACATGCCAGGTAAGTTAGCATATTTTAGTCATATGTGTCATGTAGTAATCATAACTTGGATTACAATAGGATGACATATTCAGAAAAGGAAACAGTGTCACTAGGCCTTCGGAATTGAATGACAGAGGCTGAGATACTTATGACATTCCAATGACCATTTGGACAGAATGAGAGAAAAACTATTAAAACTGGTTACTCCAGAATATTGAATATACACCAATCTCTTACATCTCTATAACAATATGTTGACCTATTTAATCCCAATATACCAAACTCAAATTTAAAAAATAAAAATATTAGCGACCAGGTCACCTTTTGGCTTGCCAGTACACAATTTGTCTCTGGTGGGGACAATATTTGGATGTGTCTCTGTGTCACAACTATAGGAGAGCCCTAGGAAGGGTAGGGTTCCTATACAGGAGGTATCTTCAGTCTATAAGTGTGGCTCACTAGAAGTATGGTACTTCATCGTCTACTAGGGTAGAAAGACCGAGATATTACTCCTGGGACAGAGGACAGGAAGATAAGTCTACCCTGCTCCGATGGGTGGTGCTAGGCCGACTAGGTATCCTGGTGGCAACTCCTCTGCCACTTTTAAAGAAAGAGCCCCCAGAGAAAGACAGCGAAGAATGCCCCCTTCTCGCTCACTCAACTATTACTCACGCACAGCAACACAGACAGACGAGAATAGTAGTGAATGAAGAATGATGTCGCTTTAATTTTACTACAACTGACTGGCTAAAAATTGACAGTGGTTTGGTGTTTGATTTTAAACCAAATGGTTATCATCATAAGAGAAATGTCTACTGGGTCCAGTTCCTTCCCCGCACGAGTACAGCTCACCCGTGGATACTCCCAAAGGCTGGACTTGATGAGGAAACCGGAACACTTGGCTTCTTGTAGATCTTATTTCTTGTGATATCCTCTTGTAGATAATCCACCGCTGATGTTCTTAAAGTTCAGATACGACACGTGGTCGTTTAGAAAATTCGACACGTGGTCGGTTACAATTACGACTAGTAGTCGGTTATGAATACTGGGATTAAATCCCTTAAACTGTCTCTTTGTCTGTGCCGATTCTATGGCGACATGACAATGGGTACAATTGTGTACTAATCGTTGAGTCCTTGGTGTTATGAAAAATGCCGCAGGGCCCCTCAGATCGGTCAGAAATCACTACCGTAATCCAGAACGAATTAATATAGAACTACACTCGCTAATCTGAATACTGAACTTGAAAAACTACCGATCATCACTCGACCACGTTTGGGACTGCCAAGACCGGAAGATGGCGGCTTCCGCTCAAAAATGGACGACCCACGGGACGCCAGCCATGCGCATGCGCCAAAAAGATAAAGCGCCCTCTGGTACGTTCTATTGATTGGTCGAACAGGGCACTTTGATTGGTTGCAAAACTAGTAATCCATGAGTTAAATGTAACTAGCCCTATCCGGTTTTTAGCGGAAAGTATTAGGGGAAGGCCGGTTGCTAGGCGACGCGAAAATCTCATCGAAGTTGTGTAAGCACTCGCATCCTCTAACTTCTAATATATATATGGCTTCTGCCCTAAACTATAAGGTAACTAGGGAGCGTCAGTGGTCATTGCCAGTACTGTCACATAGGCCCCCCGTAAAAAAAAAGTTCTGGGATCCAAACTTTTTAGAGACTAAGATGACCATCTGGCGTATCTCCTTCATCTGGGTTAGCTTGATCATTCTCCTCTTCTGGAGGGTGACGACTCAGGAAATCTGCTCCTACATTCTCTTTCCCCGGAATGTACTCTACTGTAAAAGTGTAGGGTTGGAGTAACAGTGACCATCTCATCAGCCTAGTGTTGAGCTTCTTAGATGCCGCTAGAAACATCAGAGGCTGGTGGTCACTCTGTACTTTAAATTTCGTTCCGTACAAGAATGGCTGGAATTTCTGCACTGCCCATACTAGGGATAAACACTCTTTCTCAATGGTTGAATACTTTCTTTCAGCACCGTTAAGCTTCCGGCTGGCATATGCTATCGGAAACAACATGGATGGTTCTTCTCTACCTTCCTGGAGTAGGGTCGCTCCTATTCCTATATTACTGGCATCAGTCCTCAACGTAAAGGTTTTAGTGAGGTCCGGGAGCTGAAGAATAGGTTTGGAGGTTAGCTTTCCCTTGAGCATAGCGTACGCTGTCTCACAGTCAGCTGACCAACGCACCATCTCTGGGGCTCCCTTTTTTGTAGCATCTGTAAGTGGGGAGGCTATCGTGTTAAAGTCTTGTATGTACTTTTGATAGAACCCACACAGAGATACAAAGGACCGCACATCCTTCTTAGTTTTTGGTCTAGGTGCCTTGTGCAACTTATCTACGTTCTTTTGTTCGGGGCACATATATCCCTGTGATATGGTGTGTCCCAGAAATTCTAGTTGTCCAAAAGCCAGTTTACATTTAGAAGGCCTGGCTGTTAACCCCACTTCTGCAAGCCTTCCTAGCAAAGTGTCGAGAGTGTTGAGGTGTTCTTCAAAATGCTCTGACGCGATGAGGATGTCATCCATAAAATGTTGTAGCGTTGGCCGTTTTAATGGGCCTAACAGCATTCTCATCATGCGGGTAAACACACTAGGTGCATTGCTAAGGCCGAATGGTAAGACGTTGAACTCATAGTGCCCCTCAGGGGTGCTGAATGCTAAATAAGGGCGAACTTCTTTCTTTACTGGGATCTGATAGTACCCCTTACTGAGGTCTATCTTGGAAAAGTACTTAGCTTTACTAAGTCTCGAAAATAGCTGTCCTTGGTCCGGTAGGGGTTCAGCTTGGAATTCCGTTACCCCATTTAGTTGCCTGTAGTCAATGCAAAGCCGATGCTCCCCACTAGGTTTCCTTAGGAGCACAACACTAGCACTATAGGGTGATTCAGAAGGGGAGATAATTCCTTCTTGCAGCAGGTGAGCAATCTCAGCCTGGAGGGCTTCCTCCTTAGCATAAGGTATAGGATAACACCTCTGTCTGACCGGTTCTGTACTGGTCAGTTTCATGTCAAACTCGACCAGACTTGTGAGACCCGGTTTGTCTGTGAGCACAGCTGAGTGTGCAGTTAAGACCTCTCTTATTCTTCGTTGTTGCGAATCCAACAGGATGGGGTTTATTTCCACGTCCTGAGCGGTTTCTCGAGGTTGTAACGGGTACTCGACCCCTGCAGCCTCTCCACATTCGACCTCCGTAGCTACCGCAAGTGTCATCAAATGCACCGGGGTAGTTTCTGTTCTTTCGAAATACTTTCGAAGCAGGTTTATGTGAAAGACTTTCAGTTTTCCTCTTTTGGAGATCTTATAATTGGTGCGGGACACCTTCTCCACAACCGAGTAGGGCCCTTGCCAACCAATCTCCAGTTTATTGCTGCCACTTGGCAAAAGTAACATGACCTTGTCTCCTGGTTCCAGGGAACGGTCCTTGGCTTTCCTATTATAAAGGGCAGCATGTTTCTTGCGGGCGGCTTTCACATTTGACGTTGCCAGTTTCCAACCCATTTCCAACTTTCCTTTCAGTTCCTCCACATACTTGGAGGCTGTCACTACAGTCTCGGAGGCTGTCACTACAGTCTCTTCCGCCTTCTCTTCAGTCCACGTCCTCATTAGGGCTTCCAAGGGCCCCTTAATAGGTCGTCCGAATAGAAGAGTAGCAGGTGGGATTCCCGTAGATCCATGGGGTACCTCCCTGTAGGCGAATAGAGCCGCTGGTAGGTACTCATCCCAAACCTCTGGTTTTTCCTGAGCTAACTTCCTCAGGATCGTCATTAAGGTTCCGTTAAATCTTTCCACCTGGCCGTTTGACTGTGGGTGATATGGACTAGTGTGGATATGCCGGGTTTGTAGAATCTGGAAGACTTCTCCCATCAGTTTCCCTCGGAACTGTGAGCCGTTGTCTGTCAAAATTTGATTGGGAAATCCCAATCTTGTGAAAATGGTCACGAGTGCTTCCGCTACTCGCTTTGAATCGATAGCAGGTAGGGCAATCGCCTCCCCCCACATCGAACAGGTATCCACCAAAGTTAAAATAAAGGAATTTCTTTTCTTGGTGCGAGGGAGTGGACCGACTATGTCGACTGCCACTCTCTCAAATGGAGTGTTCATCAAAGGCATGTCACCTAAAGTTACTGGAACTGTCCAATGCCTGGGAGCTACCCTTTGGCATTCTGGACATGACTTTACATACCGCTTAATGTCCCCATTCATCCCCGGCCAGTAATAATGGCAGGCGATACGTTGCTGTGTAGCCCCAATCCCCATATGTCCAGAGAATGGGATAGTATGTCCCATGTGCAAGATTTGCGTCCGGTAGGGGGAAGGTACAACAAGTTGACCAAACTCGTCTCCATCTTTTCCTGCCCTACGGTACAGCAAATTACTTTTGACATAAAAGTTTCCCTTACTAGGAGGGGTTTGGGCTTTGGGCAACTTTCCGTAGCAAGGTTGAAGAGTGTGGTCCTGTTTTTGGGCAGCCCTTATTTCACCCGGAAGGGGGTTTAAAGGTTGAACAGGCTCTAGGCTATCTTTAGCCTGAGACCTGGTCTGTACAGCCGCGAGAGCTATGGGAGTAGATGGTTCACTTAAATAAACATACCGACACCCTAGGATAAAAGGATAAATCGGATCATCTACCACAGCAGCGGATACAGTCCCAGTAACATACTTGGACTCCACTTCAACTAAAGCTATAGGCAAAGTCATAGTGGGGGAACTCTTGGTAGCCCCGCGGACTTTAATAGTGTCTCCAGTTAGCTGGCCAGGTTCTACCAGATATGATGCAATTAAACTGTCATACTGGAGGCCGGTATCATAGAGACAATCGACTCTCTGTCGGTTGACTGAGATCACTTCCACCACGGGTGGTCTCCTCGTAGTAGGGAAGAGTACACTAGGAGGCTTTTCAGCTGCCACACATGCCGCGTACTGAGGGGCAGGTTTTTTTTTCGGGCATTCGGCCGTGTAGTGGGTATTAACCTTGCAATATTTGCAGTATGGATTTCTCC